GATAACAATATCTGTGTCAGGTTGACCAAAAAGCTCCACAGGCCACATGCTAAATCAGAGAAGTTAGTCACAGATAACCAGATATTTTACCATACAGTCTGTGAATATGAGATATTCAGATTAGGGAAAATCCTGAGAAGCAGAAAGTAGATTAGTGGACGGCTAGTTCAGAAAAACCAGGAGACGGTAGATAGATAAGGGGATGTGTTGGGGTTCTGCTGCCGTGACAAAAAACAGCAAAGATAAATTAAAGGGAAGAGTTTATTCAGAGGTCTCTGTCCAAGGTCCTTTGGCCTTTGTTTGGGCCTGGATGGACCAGCTATGGTGGGAGCGGACGATGAGGGGACCTGTTCACTTCATGGTCCCCAGGAGACAAAAGAGGGAAGGCCGGGGTTCCCAGCAGCCCCTTCAACAACACGCCCTCAATGGTCTATCTTCCACGAGGACCCAACCTCGCACAGGCTTCACAGCCTGCCACCGGCTTGGGACCAAGACTCCAAACATACAAGCCTTTGGGAGACATTCCAACTATAACTGAGAACAGAGTAATGAAAATGTTATACAGTGTTGTAAGAACGGACTGTGGAGACTGGAGACACTTATAATACTGCCTGCTCTTCTAGAGGGCCCAGGTTCGAGTCTCAGCACCCACATGGTCCTCACAGCCATCTGTAATCAGTCCAAGGGTATCCCATGCCTTCTTCTGGCCTCCAAATCCACTACACAAACGTGGTACACAGGCATACATTCAGTCTAAACACACATACATATAGAAAAAATTTTTTAAAAGAAGTAAACACATTTTTAAAAAACTGCTTATGGTAAAAGTTAGGCAATTCTGCAAATATACTAAATATCACCAACCTATACTCTTTAATGGATGAATTGTGTGCTATGAAAATTATAGCTCAATAAATGTTTTGAACACTAACTTTAAACACTTTTTTTTAAAGCCAAATATTATTGCACAAAAATACTGTAATTACTTATGGTCCTGAAACCAAAGAGGTACCCCACTGCCAATATTCCTGGAGGAAACAGTCCCGATGACGATGACATCCCTCTGGAAATGGAGCAATAACTAAGCCAGAGACCTTCTTAGAGTGTCCCCCAATACAAGCGACCGCCAAGGGAAAGAAACAGCATATGCCCGGAAAGACAGCAGATGGCTAGAGCAGGCGGCCATACTCACCAGCAGCAACAACAGCTGCTTTCCATAAATTAGCTCTTCACGCTAGAGATACAACTCACCCCTACCTGGAATGGGACTGGCCCTTTTTAACATCCACAGTGGTTTCTGTATACTCACAGCTGTGCAGCTAGCTCCCAACACTAATTTTTAAGAATATTCTTATCCCAAAGAAACTCCTGTGCACAGTTTGGTTTTTTTTGGCATAAACTGAGGACCCCAAGGGTCAAGGGCTGAAGGAACAGGTTAGACTATCTTCCCCAGGGGTGACTGGGTCACCGGTTGAGGAACACCTGCATCTTACCCAGTTCTGGCTGTGACATACATCTCTCATGATGAAGACTCTGTCCGTAAGTTCCTCTTGCTGAGAACCCCAAATACCCTACATTTTACATAAAAAGAAATCAATAAAGACACGCTTGAGTTAATATGCCTTGAAGTTATACAGTATGAAAACTGTCAGTATGTTAGCCAGGCAGTGATGGTGCATGCCTTTAATCCCAGCACTCGGGAGGCAGAGGCGGGCGGATCTCTGTGAGTTCGAGGCCAGCCTGGTCTACAGACATTCTTCCTTGCCTATAGAAATTGCAGTCTGTCGTCGATTACATACGCCGTCATGACTAAGGTTACAAATGTGCATGGCCAGCTTTCCCCGGGGGTGCTGGAGAGGAAAGCCAGGTCCTTATGCTTCCTAGACACGTTCCAGACTGCGCCATCTCCCAGCTCCCGCCTTTGTTTCGGTTCTGTAGCTCAGGCTGGCCTTGAACCCATGACAAACCTCATACCTAGGCTTCCAAGATATACTGGGGTTAGAAGCACAGCCTTCTGGGGAAAGGCTGGTGACTGCAATGCTGCTGTGTCCTGTCGTCAGCTGGTGTGGCCCAGTTTGTGTTCTTCTCTTGTGTTAGTCTTAGCTTTGCTCCCAGAGAATGAGGTGTGCGTGTTATCTGTGCTCCTTTCCCTGCCCTACAGAGCCCACTGTTCCCCACACCCACACACCCCCGAGCCACACCGGATTGTGTCCGAGGGACCTTTACCTCACCAGAGCGTTACCACCTTCAAGACTAACTCGGTGTGCCCCTAAAAGAGGTGTGGACAACGTCAACATTCCTGTGGTAGAAGTTAATGAGGAATGGGCAGATAGGTCTGACAGGAACTGCAAACAATTCTCACTCTGAACGCAACCTCAAGGAAACCTCTAACAGGCCCCGCTACAAGTGACATTGCGAGCTGGCACCTGAAGAGATGTCCCTACTCAGTCTCCCCCATTGCTCTCAAGTGCCCTTGGGAGACTTGGGAATATAGGATGTGGTAGTCTGAGAGAGAATGGCCCCCATAGGGCGTGGCACCATTAGGTGTGGCCTTGCTGGAGGGGGGGTGATCTTTGAGCTTCTATGCTCACAGTGTGCGGTGTCACAGGAACACATCTGTCTGCACACCGAGGCCCACCATGATGAAAATGGACTTAAGCCGCCCCATTGTTTCCCTTTACAAGAGTTGCCCGTGGTCACGATGCCTCCACATCAATGGAATCCCCACCCGAGGCATAGGGGACCGGGAAAATGAACTCCGATTGGTGCATGTGAATCTTCAAAGACTACGACTGCTTTTGATTGCAGGAGTTACACGGGAGCCGGTTTCTGTGTTCACCTGTAGTATTTGGTGTGCAAAGGGACTCCCAAGGTCAGGGACTCTCCGTAGGCTTGGTGTGACTCTGGTTCACAGGAGGAAGGGCACAGAAGGCAAGCCAGCCTTCAGCACTGCTGCCTGCGGCTGAGCGAGCAGACACTGGTGGGGGTGGGGAGCGCTGGACTGCAGACACGCTTAGTGCCACATCCACATGTGCAAACGTGTACACACCCACACCTGAGCTTTTCTGTCTTGAAACTCACGGTGTTGCCCAGGCTGGCTTCAAACATGCAGTCAACAGCCAGCTCCTGCTCTTCTGATACTGGGCTTACAGCGGTCAATTACCGATTCCTCTTATTTATTTTTTCCATTTTGTGGTGCTGAGGATTGCCCAGCTTTGTGCTACACAACAGAACCACTAAGGCTAAGGAGGGCTTATTGGTTTGGGGAGGTTGCTCAGTGGTTAGAGAGAGAGAGGAAAACAAAAACCTGTCCCTCCAGAGAGAATGAGTTTAGTACTAGAATCTATCCATATCCAGCAGCTCACACACAACTCCAAGGAAGCTGACATTCTCTTCTGACATCCACAGACACCTGCAGTCAGGTGCATGCTCACATGCTCTCTCTCTCTCTCTCACACACACACACACACACTCAATAGCCATGTGTGGTAGCACACACCACTTATCACAGTACTCTGGAGCGAGAGGCAAGTGGACGTCATAGTAAGTAAATCCTTTTGGGCAGGAGGGTGGGGACGGACACACCTTTGTTAAGGACTAACTTGAGAAACTTAACTTGCTGTTCACTGGAGACAGACGAACACTAGTCGGAGACATAGTGCCTTCTGTTTTCTGACAGATGGGGCTAGTTAGTCTCCAAGGGGTTGATTTACTTCCTCTTCTACCTACAAATATCCAGGTTCTCCAAGCAACTTTTCACTTCCGAGGGCTACCCAGTTCCTGAAGAGCCTTTCCCCTGAGCTCGCCAGTTCTGGGCTCTGCCCTTCTCAGGTGTACCTTGCTAAATTCCTTTGTGGACTGGAACACAGCTCAATGGTAGAGCCACAGCCCACCATCCTAAGCTCTGGGATAAAATGATAGGTCAGCGCAGGACTGCATCAGTGATCACAGAACCACTTCCAAAGAACCGTTTAAGCCACAAATCTAGATTTGTCTTTTGAGATGGGCTCTCACTATATAGCCCTAGCTGGTCTCGAACTCACAGGCATCTACTGCCTCTAGTGGTGGAGACAAAGCTGTGCATAACAATCCAATTCAGGTAAATCTTTCTAGTTAGCAAGATTTCTAGCAAAACAGTAAGAGTAAAACCAGGTCAAGTTGTAGGTGTGTACTGGAATACAGCACGCACTCCCTGGGATTCACACTGAAGCAGTGTGTCAAGTCACCTGTGCTTTGCAGAGCTGCTGCCTAATATCTGTGGAGACAGGGACCAGCACGGGGTGGTCAAAGCTGGGAGGCTCTTGGGTCTCGACCCACAACCTGTTTACGTATACGAGTCTTTCCCCACCGGCCCCTCATCAATGCATGGTGTAGCGAATGGCTTTCCTCAACCCCCGCTCTCTAAGGACCAGGTCAACATGCAGAGCAGGTGTAAGGGCCCCAGGGGCACCATGCCTCCAGGGACACGCTGGCCACTGACTGGCACTTACACGAGGCAGTCCTTCCTGAGAACACACCACACATGACCAGTAGAGAATTCCCAGTCTCTAACATCCCAGCCTCCTGTGTCCGGGTAAGCCCGAGCACTGTGTGGTCAGCCCTCTCTCAGAACCCCCTCCTCCACTAAAGCTCTGCCAAGAGCTCACACTGACGTCACACCTCCCTTCGCCCTTCGCCCAAGCTACCGTATTCAGCGCCGTCTGGCCCACAGGTGAGGTGGCCCCTCATTCTCACACGATCAAGGGGAAGTATCTGGAGAGAGTACACTGGGACCCAACGGCACCGGGAAAACCCTGATTTAAATTTGTAGGGTGTTACTGTTCATAACAATAGGTAATAAGTTGGGCCAGCGGAGTAACTGGGGGGGAGGGGGGAGAGGTACCAACCTACCATAGGGCCTGACAAACTGAGTGACTGAGTTCAACCCCCACAGGGGATAAGATCCCACGGCTGTCTTCTGGCCACACCCAAACCATGACACACATGCTTGCACACATATATTAACTTTTAAAAACTTTAAGTAATAATTTATGTTACAGACATGTACAATGTGCTGGGTATGGTGGTGTATGCCTGTAGCTGCAGCACTTGAGAGGCTGGGGCTAGCCTGGGCTACAGTGTGAGGTCTTGTCACACTCCACCCCGCCACATAAAAACAAATTCCAAGAAAGTGGCCCCGTCCGTTAGTTTCCACTAATGTCTCCTAATTCTCTTTGATTTTTTCCTCTCGTCTTCTGACCCTGTCTCTGCAGGTCGCTTCCTCAACCCCTTCATTTTCCTGGTCTGTAGTTTGCTCAGGTCTTGCTTCTGCATATGAATCCTTCCAAAAGTCGTACCAAAAGTGTCCTGGGAGACATTCTTTCTCTTCTTTGGCTATGAAACAAGAAAGAAAAAAAGGTATGTGATATATCCATATACATATGTGGGTGTGTGTATATGGGTGTGTGTATATATATGGGTGTGTGTATATGGGTGTGTGTATATGGGTGTGTGTATGTATGGGTGTGTGTATGTATGGGTGTGTGTATATATATGGGTGTGTGTATATGGGTGTGTGTATATGGGTGTGTATGTATGGGTGTGTGTATGTATGGGTGTGTGTATGTATGGGTGTGTATATATATATATGGGTGTGTATATATATATGGGTGTGTGTGTGTGTGATTTTTAATGGCCTTTTACCATATACTGGTAAAAATCTAGTACATACCTCTTAGTAACAATTCCCATTGTGAAGACTCAATGACACAAAGGACACAGCCTTACACACCTTTCCTCTAGGGATCATGGGACTTCTTTAAAATGCAAATTCCCACTCAGAGCCAACCGCTGGCCCCTCCCCCATGTCCGATAACACTGCCTTCTGGGTAAGGTATCAGGTCACTGCACTGTCCACTGTCATGTATGAAGACAGTTTCTGATGGGGTTGTCCTGTGTATAGGTTTCTATTATTGGTTGATGAATAAAACACTGTGTGGCTAGTGGCCGGGCAGGAAGGCTAAGTGGGAATGCCAGAGGAGGATTCTGGGAAGGGTAGGCAGACAGGAGTCGTCTTATAGAGCCCAGGAAGAGAGGATGGGCAAGACGTTCTCCAGTAAGCCAAGACCACATGGAAATAAATAGATTAATAGATATGGGTTAACAGTTAAGACAGAGGTAGCCAATAAGAAGCCCAAGCCAGCGTCCAACAGTTTAGTAACTAATATAGCGTCTGTGTGTTCATTTGGGGCAAGGCAGTTGTAGACCCAGGCAGGAAATCCAGCAGTAAGTTTCCTGTGCCCCAGAAGTTGTAGTTGTCAGTTCAATCTGTACCAGTAGCCCAGAGTTAGGTGTCTACTTGTGATGACATTTCTTTTATTTCATTGTATGTTATGTGTCAGGAGCCCACGGAGGCCACAATAGGAAGTTATGGGTGGTTGTGAACCTCTGATGTGATGGACGCTAGAACTCAAACTCTGGTCCTCTGCAACAGTCACAAGTGCTCTTAAACCACTAAGTCATCTTTCTAGCCGTTCTAGCTGTTTTTGAAACACTGTCAAAGTCAAAACAAAGCTGGGCCTGGTAGTGCATGCACTTGAGGGTCTGAGACAGAAGAATCCCGAGTTCAAGACCAGACTAGGCCACAAGTCGATGCACATTTAACATAGCTATTACTCTGGAAACACAGGTTCCAACCCAGTCTTCATGATGCCACACTGTCCGGGTTGTGCCAAAAATGGCAGTCCTGGCTACGAGAACACTGTCAGTCAAACTAGACTCCTGGGTTCTGCGACTCCGTATGCCCCAATGTCCGGAAATGTTCTTTTCTGGCTCTGAGCCTAACTCTTTTTATCTATTTTATTCATATATCTTTTTGATATAGTGTCACAAATCCTTCCTGGCAAGAGTGAAATATAGAAATAAACACAGAACCACATCACGGTTATGTACCTTGAGAGCTTTGGGCATTTTCATGGACAATTTATAAAGGTCGTCTGATGCTAAGTGTGTCCTCCTCAGAACCAGATCCATCGATGGTCCCATCTCTTCCAGTTCAATTCGTGGTGTTCTGCAACCAGACTTCTTCAACAGCAGCCTGTGAGAACCAGGGGGAAATGCTGCTTTGTTTATTTTTAAAAGTCCTCCTCCGAAATATCTTATGCTTTAAATAGGGTCAGGAATAGTTGCAAAGACCAAGCATCTTCTTAGACACTTCAGACATTCATACCAAGTATCCTTTGGTTACATTTTAAAAATCAGAAATGAAATGGCACAATATTACTGGGAAACAACAAGTATAAAATTTACTTCTAAATAATTCAGTGGCAGGGCATGTAATGTTTGCGCAAAACCCTAAGTTTGACACCTAGCACCAAAGTAATAACTGTAACTAGACTTTTGAACAGTGATGTTTAGTGGGGGGCAGTGGTGCACACACCTTTAGTCCCAGCACTTGGGAGGCAGAAGCAGGTAGAGCTCTGTGAGTCTGAGGCCAGCCTGGTCTACATAGAGAGTTCCAGGAGAGTATGTTTAAAATATTAACAAATTCCCATCTCCCACATTATGAGTTAAGTCAATCCATTCAAAGTCAACTTTTCCCTACAGCACATTAATGATTTCTATAGCCTGTAGTAAATCTAAAAATCCTAATAAAATTACAACAAAATTACAACGTCTTCAACATTCTACATCAAATAACTCCAAATCTGGAAATACTTGAGAGGGCAGGAGAGGAAGAATGAGGGAGGGGTGTGTGTGTGTATGTATGTGTGCGAGTGTGCATGAGTGTGTTGAGAGTTTGTGTGCATGTGTGCGTGAGTGTGTGTATGTATGTGTGCATGTGTGTCTGTGTATGGTGCGTGTGTGCGCGCATGTGTGAGTGTGTGTGTATGTGTGTCTGTGTATGGTGTGTGTGTGTGCATGCATGTGTATGTATATATGTATGTGTGTATGTGTGTCTGTGTATGGTGTGTGTGTGTGCATGCATGTGTATGTATATATGTATGTGTGTCTGTGTATGGTGTGTGTGCATGCATGTGTATGTATATATGTATGTGTGTCTGTGTATGGTGTGTGTGAATACATGCATGTGTATGTATGTGTGTATGTGTGTCTGTGTATGGTGTGTGTGTGTGCATGCATGTGTATGTATATATGTATGTGTGTATGTGTGTCCGTGCGCTGGGGAGGGGACCCTAAATCTTCTTTGTATTACTAGCATATTAACGACAAGTCAATGGCGCTCACTGCCGTCTGCGGTCGCCGTGTGCACCCACTTCTCTCCTGCACGCCTGCTTCCCCGCCACTGGTAATCCCTCTCTTTACCCTCAGGTACACAACTGGCCTCACACCCCATCTGTTTTATGCGTGGTATTCTAGAAACAGAGCTGAAAGACCTGCAAAGTGTCAGGTGTCATCCCAGCACTTGGGAAATGCAGGCCTCTCTCTGGTACAATGACCTCAGGTCGTCTGCACTATGTGAACCCTGTCTCAATAAAAACAAACAAAAGAAAACCCACCCGATCCAAAATCTGAACATTACCTTTAGCAACCACATTTGATAGAGCAGTTATGTTCCCACAGGTAAGAAGGTATGCTGGGGAGAAGGGGCAGCAAGGAGACGTGAGCTGAAGAGCACTGCACAGAGTCACAAAGGAGAAGGTAACATGGGTAATGAGAAGGACAGAACGATCAAGGAAGGCTCAGGAGAGCAAACAGCAGCACCGGCGTGTGCTGGGGCACTAGCAGGGACTCTGGACCCTAAGTACACTTGCAGATAGCCCAAGACACAACTGCTGGTCACGGCAAGAATCACAATCACCTACACTAGATTACATGAGCCAGGCAGTCTAACACATAAAGACCAGAGGGTTCAACAACAGAGCTACAGAAACACAGAAGACAAAGGGAGCCGGGCATGGAGGGACACACCTTGATTTAATCCAGCACTCAGGAAGCAGAGGCAGGCAGATCTGAGTACAAGGCCAGCCTGGTCTACAGAGTTCTAAGGTAGCCAGGGCTACAGAGACAAACGTGTTTCACCTCTCTGAAGAGAAAATGAAGTGAGTGCTAGGCACACTGACATATGTCCACCATCCCAGCCCTAGGAGGGCAAAACACAGCTTAAACTTGAGGCCAGCCTGGGCTACAGGCTGGGCTACAGAGCAAACATCTGCTAATCCATGAGAGAGCTGCCTTCATTCAAAAAGCACAGCATCACTTAGGGAGCCAAGTGTGAATACTGACATCACAAGTATGAACACTGACATCATAAGTGTGAACAGAGGTCACTTAGGGAGCGCAAGTGTGAACACTGGCATCTCTTAGGGAGAGCAAGTGTGAACAGTGATGTCACTTAGGGAGCTCAAGCGTGAACGTCGACAGCTACACTGTTCTGCACTGAGCCGGCAAGCACACAGCAGCATCACCACTAGAAGTCTCTAACTTCAGAGCTGCAGATGAAGCAAGAGGTCAGAAATTTAAGGCCAGCTGGGCTATGCACAAAGTTCCAAGCTAGCCTGGGCTACATGAAACCTTGTCCCCAAATCAAAATGAAAGTCTACACGAGGGGTTCTGATTTCAAAATTGAAACATTGTGCCATGAATGATGCCAGGCTGACCCTAAAGTGACTTCAGCCATCCTCTCTCTGGTAGACCCACCTGCCCCTGCCTTCCAGACGCTGGGTCAGAGGAGTGCTCCCACGATGCAGTTTGCCCTTGCATGATGTGGAGGAGGGCAAAGGTCAACCAACCTTCCTCCGTCATCCGCACCGGCAGCAAGGGCAGACCACGAGGAAAGCCGCTAAGGGCTGACGCCTAGCATGTCCCTCAGCAGCGCCATTTCCACTGGGACAGGAGTAATTTCAGCACGTCAGTATCTCATCAATAAAGACACACTCTGGCTGGGAGTAGTGGTTCCGGCCTGGAATGCCAGCACTTAAAAGCTGAGGCAGGAGGACTCCAAGTCTGAGGTCTACCCAGACTACACAATAAATACAAGGCCAGCCTAAACCTCAAACCAAGCAACAAAACAATCTGCTTGTTGGGTTTTTACTCATATTAATGTTGCATTGGGCTTATGGTAGAAACCCATGCTAGAGGAGAAATTAGTTTACCTGCTTTTTGTTACAGCTTTCAAACTTAAAATCTGAAAACTGCCTTGTCTGGCTTGACTGTGGCTTGGTGCTCTAAATCCAGTCAAGAATAATGATGAACCACACAGAAGGGAGACCACTAAACACACAAGGCTCTCAAGAGACGATCACAGATCACTAAACACACCGGGCTCTGAGAGACAATCACGGGAGATCACTAAACACACCAGGCTCATGGTAGACGATCACCGGAGATGACTAAACACACCGGGCTCTCAAGAGATGATCACAGATCACTAAACACACCAGGCTCTCACACAGAGATGATCAGGGGCTCTGGAAAAGTGAGTTTCTCAGACCAAGGTCAGCAGGGAGGACGGATGGATGGAGGGTCAGGGCACAGTGCCTGCCACTACTAACTGCAAACTCTCCAGACCCGTTAGGCAGGAACCAACTTTGAGTTAGAATGAAATGTGACTCCTGAAGAGTCTGAACAACACCTGGAAACGTACTTACTTATAGCTTCGAAAGTAAACCTTCCCGTTCAGGGCAGTGAAATGCAGAACATACTCCAGTCCAGCCAGTCGGACGTTGGACACTGTGGGGCCTCTGAAGAAATCTGCAAGTACACATTCAGTTGTCAGGAAAGAAAACGAGCTGGCAGTGGTGGCACATACCTTTAATCCCAGCACTTGGGAGGCAGAGCAGGCGGACCTCTGTGAGTTCAAGGACAGCCTAAATTCAGTTACAGGGGCTGAAGAGGTGGCTCAGTGGTTAAGAGCACTGGCTGCTCTTCCAGAGGACCCAGGTTCAACTCCCAGCACCCACATGGCAGCTCCCAACTGTCTGTAACTCCAGTACCAAGGGATCTGACACCCTCACATAGACATACATGCAGGCAAAATGCCAAAGTACCTAAAATGAAAATAAATCATTATTTTAAAAAATTCATTCCTGCCCATCTCCCTGCCTCTGTTGGCCAGTGTGGTTTATTCATTAACCAATAAGAGAAACACAGAAGGACGTCCCCCATCACATGCACATGGGCCAGGAGCAGGGTCTCCCCGGTACCCTTGGTAACTAGGCTAGGCTACCCCAGAGCCAGAGCCTCAAAGTGTGCCTGTGTGTACCCCAGGAGCAGTGGAACTATACCCAGAGTTAAGCATGTCACCCTACTTTAGTTTGTTCTGACACATGTTAATAACTAGAAGTCAGTGTATCCATCCTCAGCTTCCTCACCATGAGGGTGATTCTGAACTCGATGAACCCTGACCCAATGCATGCGCCAAAATATGCCTTGTTTACTGTCATCTTGATCCGTGTAGCAGCCCTGGCTGTCCTGGAACTCGCTCTGTACACCAGGCTGGCCTTGAACTCACAGAGATCCGCCTGCAGTGTGCGAAACCACCACCTGGCAACTATCATCTTTATATACAAGGAACAGTAAGATTAAAAAAAAAAAAAAGCCATAAACATTAAGACAGACAGAACCTAAACATTGGCAGGGTCCCCATGAAGAAAAGCAATCCCAAGTAGGTGAGATGGCGCGGTGAGTAGGTGTGCTTGTTAGTAAGCCTAGAGACCTGCGTTCAATCTCCAGGACCCAAGAAGGAAGGACAGATCAATGCCACAAAGTTGTCCTCTGGCCTCCACACACATGCACACCCAGACACATATCAGACTCAGACATACTACACACACACACACACACACACACACACACACACACACACAGAGAGAGAGAGAGAGAGAGAGAGAGAGAGAGAGAGAGAGCAACTGAGTGTTAATCCATCGATGGAAGGTGATGGAAGGCTTGCCTGGCATATATAAGGTGCTGGGTTCACCCCCAGTAGATTCCCAGCTCCAGGACCTATGCAATGACGGAAAGAACAGCTCCACAAAGCTCCTGACACACCCCGATGTAATTAAACAAGGCCTGGAGAAGTGCAGGCTGGAGCATTTGACCAGCAGTCATAAGGAGTTCAATACTCCACACAACAAAAATAAAACCAGTCATTATCAATGAGTCCTGAAAAATTATAATCCCAGTAATACAAGTATAAACAATCACAAGGAAATATGAGAGCTTTTTGTGTCTCAACATGTCTATTATGATGATCATCCTTTGATGACCTCAGATTTTTAAAGTCAAGTACACAATTTATATGCAACCAAATTTTCAAAAATGACCTAGGGCAAAGAACAAAAAAAGTTTTAAAACTATTCCCTCACCTTAAATAATACAGGCTACTCCACTGTGGACAGTTGCCCACCAGAACTAGGTAACACATCACTGCTGAAGACACCACAAGCTTTGGTTACAGGACACAGAGAAATCAAGGTGACTAGCCAGAAGCTCTCTCCCTACTAGCTGGCTATGTGAGGCTATGGAGAACTGACATCAATCGTCTTATGTTGTGGGTATCAGTTAAAGAGGGGTTACATGCTTTTACGCTGTGGAGTATTTCTTTTTTTTAAATATTTATTTATTTTATTATGTGTACAGTGTTCTGCCTTCATGTATGCATACATCAGAAGAGGGCCAGATCATCACAGATGCCTGTGAGCCCACATGTGGTTGCTGGGAATTGAACTCAGGACCTCTGGAAGAGCAGCCAGTGTTCTTAACCTCTGAGCCATGTCTCCAGCCCCAGAATATTTCTTTAATGATGTAAAGATGTGTTGAATTCTTTTAAGTTGTTTAACTCTGTGAAGCTGTGTTACTTTGCCTAAAACATATAATTACTCTAATAAAGAGCTGAATGGCCGACAGCTGGGCAGGAGAGAGAGGGGGGCTGGTGGGAAGAGAAAATAAACAGAGGGAAGAGAGAAGAAAAGGAGGAGACAGGACACCAGGATATACAAGAACAGGGAAAGGTAAAAGCCCAGAGGCAAAAGGTAGATGGGATGACTTAAGAAAAGCTGGCTAGAAACAAGTAAGTAGTAATAGTAAGTCTCCGTGTGATTACGAGAGCTGAGTGGCGCCCCACCCCCGAAGAGTGAAGGTTAACTCACTGTGGTCCCTGCATGCCACGCTAGGATGCACAGAGCAAGGCTTGCTCTCTGGTGCAGCAGTAGCACGACTTGAGCATAACTGACGTGTGTCTCACAGGAGAAAACCCTCCTGATGCTGACTGGACATGGTATTACTGTCACACTGCCTCCTGAATGTTTGTGTGCATGCCCAGTTTTAAATCCGAGGCTCAGGGAAGTGGGGGGCAGGGACAGAAAGACTCAAAGAGCTGGAAGGGAGAAGTGCTGGGACTCTGCCGTCGTCAGCGGTGACTCCTGTACCAGGTGCCATCCCTGGGCAGCTAAACAGGCTAAGCCAGCTGGGAGGAGCAAGCCAGCACGAGGCATTCGCCCATGGCTTCCTCAACGGACTGTGACACAGAATACATGAGCCAAGTAAGCCCTCCCCTCCCAAGCTGCTTTTGGTTGGTGTTTATCACAGTAACAGAAGCATGACTTGGACATGGGGGAGGGACTACGGAGGTCCCCAACTGCCTTACGGAACCACGGGCAGTGAATCGTTGCTGGGGAGGAGCGTTGCTTGGTGGTGTAGGACAGCCGCTGCTAACGCCCGTGTCCCTGTAAACGCCCTGCCACCACTTCCTACGCTTATGAACGCAGCCTCGTCAAGCTCAGTAGGACAAAAAGGATGGGGGCGTGAAGATGAGAAGTGAAGACAAGAAAGAAAGTGAACAAGTTTAGTCTTACAGAAAAGGTAGGTCTCAAAAGCAGCTGTAATTGTTAATGAGACGAGCTCCGTCAATACTTACCAATAAGAAGACTTTTTAATCTTCTATAGTCTTCTGTTACATCAAAATCATCACCAGCGAATATCAACATGGGTTTTGTTCCCTCGGGGCACTTACTAGTCTGTAAAAAAAGGAAACGCCATCATTATGTAATCTCCGAAATCCAAAGAATTTATATGACAATTTTCAAGGTAGCCAATACATGTTATAAAATAATCTCACCATTTTTACATACTATCTCACCTATTGTTGCTACAGCCACAATTCGGTATCAAGAAAATCACATATGTCATTTAAATGGCAAGACATGCTTTGAACCCACAGGTCCAATCTGATGTCACTGTGTTCTACCCTAAACCCAAGGAAGCTGGAGTTAATGTCTACAGAGTAGCTGGCAAAAGTCTTTTATCAAAGCCACAGAAGGATATTTAGTTTAGTTATTCTACTAAACCTTCAAGGTCTGTCCCCTATTTAAAGGAGAGCTGAAGAAACAAGCAAGATGTACATTTACTATAATTTAACCGCATCACAAGCCTCAAAGCCCACTAGTCCAGCTAAACACAGCAGAGCATGCCTGCAAACCCAGCATGTTTGGAACATGAGGGCTCAAGCTCAGCCTTGATTACACGGAAGCAACCTTTATTACAAACAATATTCTTTCTCTTAAACTCTTAAACTCTAATCTTGGTTTTATCTACCATATGCACAACTCTAAAGTGTAACAATTAAACTCCTTTGGGTTTAATCTACTTGGAAATCTGGCCCTGGTGTGGTGAACGCCTTTCATCCCAACACTCAAGTAGCAGAGGCAGCCAATCTCTGAGTTCAAGACAACCTGGTCTACACTGGAAGCTCCAGGTCAGCCAAAGCCCACAGTGAACCCTTCCTCAAAAACAAACATTCCTCTTTTGTTGTTGTTTGATTGATTTGAGACAGGGTTTCTCCCTGAAGCTCACTCTGTAGAGCAGGCTGGCCTCAAACTCACAAAGATCGGCCTGCCTCTGCCTCCTGAGTGCTGGGGCTAAAGGTGTGTGCCACCACCGCTCAGCCCACATTTCCTTTTTTAAAATAAAGGTAAAATTGTTATTTCTGCATGAGGTTCTTTTCTATAAAATTCTACAAGTACTTTTTACCACAAGATGCCAGTATTAGCCAAGAACATTACTAAAATGCTATTTAGTTTTAGGATCAGTATCTTAGTATCTTACCTTAATATCTTTTAGAGACACAAATTTCTCAATACCTAGTTCAATCATATCCAGCACATGGTAGTCATACATACGACCTAAAAGGAAATGCATTTTTAAGCACAGAGATTTCACCAATAGCAAACATATATGGCCCAAATTATCTGTGTCTTCTCTGCCTCTCCAAACTTACACCCTCCCTTCTTAAACTTAGACATTGTTAGTTGCACTGTTACGGTATTAGTCAAGGAAAAACTTTACACTCTCGCATTGAGCCCAACTCCTTTATGTTAAGAGCAGGTTTTCCCAGCAGCCTGGCCCCACAGCCGCACCAGCCCCAAATAACACACACAGAGACGCTGTATTAGATATAAAGCTGTTAGCCTGTTACTAGCATTTCTTATTGGCTAGCTCTGTCTTAAATATCAACCCATTTCTATTAATCTAAGTATTTCCACGTGGTCTTATCTTACCAGAGAGAGGGATTGGAGTACTACCCAGTTCATCCTTGGTCTTGAATCTCTTTACTACTTCCTCTCTCCTCGTCTCCTAGCCCCGCCTATCTTGCTTTCCTATTGGCCAACAGGGCTTTATTCATTAACCAATACGAGAAGCGTATTTACAGAATGGCGTCTCCCGTCACCTTTACTTTATGGAAAAACGGGGAGCTGGATGTGACAGCGAGCACCTACGATTCTGCACTGGGGCGGCGAGAGGGCGAGCTCAAGACCACTCTAGCTACATATCAAGTCCCAGGCCAGCCTGGGGATAAACAGAGATCCCCTCCGTAATTACATAACGGTCTGGAGAGAGCTCAGAGGCTGAGAGCTCTTCCGGAGGACTCTGGTTCTCAGCGTCCATGTCATGACTTCCTGTAACTCCATGTGGTTTGCATACACACAAACACACATAGAATATATGAACTCCATGTGGTTTGCATACACACAAACACACATAGAATATATGAATAGATAAACGGAGCACCAGGAACCCACGCTTCCTGTTTAAAAACTGCTTTCCAAAGATGTTAGCAGCGGTGCTCTAAGATTACTAACCAAGAACTACTTCACGTTCTTCCTCATCTCCCTGGGCTGGGGGCAATGCTGACTGATGCCACCGGTGATGCTAAGGTTCCAAACCTAGCCTTCAAAAGGCTGGGCAAGGGGTCTACCACGGAGGTAGACTACAGTCCAAAAACAAAGGACCCAGTGTCACAAGGTTACAGCAGCAACAGAAACTACTTTGAGCATTCTGGTTGACAGTAAACCCTGGAAACAGCAGTCGCCTGAGGCATGAAGCTGACTCTATGAGTAAAAACAGAGTGGTGCCACATGCCATCAATTCCAGCGCCCAGCGGCAGGGGATCTCTGTGAGTTCTAGGCCAGCCAGAGCTACAAAGTAAGACCCCATGTCAAACAACAACACTCACCTATTACTAGATTATTTGGCCTCTTCTTATTATGGGAGCCAAACATGAATAAAGAACAGTCTGACTTCTTTGAAAAGAACTCCTATTTAAAAGAAAAAAACAAAGACCATTGAAGAGTCTTAGCCTGGCCTGATGTGGTGGCTCATGCATTTGGAAGGCTGAGACGGAAGCAATGCTGTGAATTCGAGTCAGCCAAAGCTACATAGCAAGAGCCTGTCTTCAAACCAACCAACCAACCTTACCTTTAATCTCACAGAGGAGACCCCACTCTCCCAACAGAAGCTAATGAAAATGTAATGAATTCGGTAAGTATATACAGAAGGGGCTGGAGAGATGGCTTAGAGGTTAAGAGCAATTTTGAACAAGAATCCCCAGAATCCACATGGCAGTTCACAACCATCCTTCACCTTCTTCTGACCTCCAAGGGCACAGACACACACGTGATGCCAAACACTCAGCCATAAAAAAATTAATTTTAACAGACATTTACATGTTCATATTTGTATATCCGTACAAATACATATAGTGGTCTTTCCTATATTAACTTCATAGCTTTCATGTAGTTTTAGTCTTGAAATGTTGAATCATTTAACTAAGTAGTCCAAATCAGAAAAAATGAATTTAAAAGCTAAAATAAAGAACCATCTGTCTGCCTGTCTGATTTCAATTATGCAGTACTTCTGTGTTTCATTTACTGAGTGACTCCTTGTACTCACTCAACTTACTGCTATCATCAACAGCACATCTCAGCACGCACAGGGGAGCCACAGATGTGCAGCATGCTGGCTGCGATGTTTGTAACTGGCCGGGATATTCCAATATAAGAACTGTTTGGGCCAGACGTGGTGGTGCACACCTTTAGTATCATCAGCACTAGGGAGACAGAGGCAGGTGGATCTCTGAGTGAGTTCCAGGACAGTCTCAAAACAAAAATTTTAATAAGTATTTATTGGCTTCCATTACAGATTTGAAAGTAGAAATGTGAAGGTTTCAATCCTAGATAGTCCTATGCTTTCATTCTACATCCTACACACTTGGCTCCACTTACTGGGGTCACTATTCCTAACATAAAACTTAGATCCAGAGACCAGGCATGGCAGCACATGCCTGGAACCCCAACTCTGGGGTGGCAGAGACAAGCAATTCTGGCTAGTCACCCCAGACCAAAACGGTGAGCTACAGGTTCAGTGACAGACCTGTCTCAAAAGACAAGATGGAGGGCAAAAGACTCCTACTATCAACCTCTGGCTTACCTGCACATACAAACACATGTGTGTACACATGTGTACAAATCAGATTCAACACGTCTAGTCCAAAATCAGCTAGAAACCTTTCAAAATCAATGAAAAGGATCAAAGAACAGGTACAACAGGAACAATCCATTAACACTCCATGTCACTCTCCAGTCTCCACCCCACAGCCTATCCCTTGCCACACACACTGGCTGTTACGCTCCTAACCTGATTATCATTCAGGAAGTTTCTATGCAGAAGCAAGTGGAGCCCACCCACTTCCAGTGTGAAGAAGTGAGTTAGAAAAGTCAAGAGTTCAGGCTGGACAGGGTGTGATGGTGCACACCTTTAATTGAAGCACTCTGGAGGCAAAGGCAAGTAGATGTCTGTGAGTGAGACCAGTCTGGTCTACACAGTGAGTTCTAGAACAGCCAGGGATACATGGAAACTCTTATCTCAAAAGAATTCAGGCCGTGAACCTTACAATGTCCAAGAAACCAACGTTCCTGAGAATTAATTTATCAGAAATAGTTAAGGCTTGCAAAATCCCACCCAGGTTGTGAGATGTCATTTGATGTCACTCTTACACATAAGAGCTCAAAACTATGGTCAGGCTACAGATGCCGCTCATCAGTGCTGTCTGCTGGAGGACCTGATTCAGTTCCCAGCACTCTAATCTCCAGGGGACCCAATGATTCTGGTGCCCGCACACTGGCTCGCATGTGCACAGACCCACACACATGCACTTATAATTAAAAACAAAACTCTTTAAAATATATTCATGCTCTAAGGCAATGTTCTGTAAAAAGTCTCCTGACGGGTGTGGTGCTAAATGTCTTTAATACTAGTACTTGTGAAGTAGAGGAAAGAGGACCATACATTCCAAGTCACCCTCTGCAGATTAAGTCTCGGTGTCATTATTTGGGAGCCGGCAGTCCAAAGAAAGTTCAACTACACTCCCTTTCTAGATATTAAGTTTTGGGGTTTTTGTTTGTTTGTTTTGGTTTTCTTTTCATTAAAACTATCAAGAGGGGTGGGGATGTGACTCAGTTAGCAGACTCCTTGCCTGGCATGTACAAAGCCCTTGGCTCTATCCCCACCACCGCATAGACAGTGGTGACCCATGCCTGCAATCCCAGTACTTGGGAGACAGAGGCAGAAAGAGTTTGAAGCCAGCTTGGTCTACACAGTTTCAGGACAGTCAGAGAGCTATATAACAGAGACTGTCTCAAAAACAACAAAGAGTATCTGATGATAATAATAACAACAGCAACTCTATCTTTTAATAATAGCCATATCTTTTAAATCCTCAGGTGGGAGAGATGGCTTAGTGGGTAGAATGTTTGGTGAGAAGCCTAGTAACCTGAGTGTAATTCCCAGAACCCACTGGGAGGAAGGCTAGAAACACACACACACACACACACACACACACACACACACACACACACACACAGGATTTCTAACTTAAAAGGGAAAGATAACAGATAACACATTAGGAGTTCAACATGAGTCCATCAGGAGTCACTTTTACACTTCTGTTGTTTCTGAGAACTGGGGATTGGAACCAGAGCATTGGGCATGCTAGACAAGCATGAGCCAGCACCATTACCACTCACCCCCCCCACACACACACCAGCCCCGCCCACATGAGCTCTATTAAAGTCTCGTACTTACCAGTGATGTCTGATCCTCAAATGGTCTTGTAATATTTTTCCTAAAAATATTAAAAAGTGACTCCAGTTTTAGTAATGTTAATGAGTACATTCAGTTACATCGGATAATCAGCAATTTTATATTCAAATGATTAAAAGAATGAGACACTAGGACACAACATTTGGGGAGTAGAAGAACGTAGCTATCTATGAATTCCAGACAAGCCAGGGCTGCAGAGTGAGACCTTGTCCCAAACAAGCCACCCAAAAGGAGGGTGAGGAACCCTGGAGAGATGGCTCGCTGGTTAAGGACACTGTCTACTCTTCCAGAGAGCCCAGCTGGGTTCAATTCTCAGCACCCACCTGGTGGCTCACAGCCCTCTAGAACTCCAGTCCCAGGGCCTCCAAGGGCAACTGGCATACAACAAAAACACAACCAATCGCTTTCAATCCCAGCACTCAGGAGGCAGAGGCAGGTGGATCTCTGAGGTTAAGATTAGCCTGATCTACAGAGCGAGCTCCAGGACAGCCGGAGCTACTTTACTTAGAGGAACCCCGTCTGAAAAACAAACCAAACAAAAAGAGAGCTGGGCTAGAACAGTGGCTCAGCATTTAAGACTACTTAACAAGTTCAGTCACAGAATCCACAACACGCAGCTCACCTCAGCCCTGTGTGATGGGATGGACGCGTTCTGGCCTGGGCAGGCCTTCATATATATGCACATGGGCAAACACACACACACACACACACACACACACACACACACACACACACACACACACTATTTTAAGAGGGAGTAGAATGGGGGCTGGAGAGATGGCTCAGAGGTTAGAAACACTGAGTGCTATTCCAGAGAACCCATGTTCAATTCCCAGCACCCATGTGGCAGCTCACAACTATCTGTAACTCCAGTTCCAGGGGATCTGACACCTTCACATAGACATACATGCAGACAAAACACTGATACTCATAAAATAAAGTTAAATAAATTACAGTTTAAAAGTATGGGAAAAGAAGAGGGAGCAGAGCACACAAAGCCTAGCTAGTAGAGGATCTGTCTAGCAAGCGTAGGCCTTGGATCTCATCTCTAGCACCTCCCACCCCCAAAGCAGAGAGACCCTGAAACACACAGAAGCACATCCAGACATAAGAGGCAGGCAAGCAACTGCTGGAGCGTGGGAGAGAGTGAACAGGTGTGAAATCGGTAAAACCGGAGCTGGGCATTGCCTTAGCACCTGAGAAGTCAATCACAAGGACCAGGAGTTAAGAGGCCAGTCTAGACCATATGCAACCCTTTCTCAAAAACCAAAACCAAACCACCCTAAAAACCAAAACCAAAGAAGGAACATTATCAGTAAAAGAACACAGACTATACACAGAAGGAATAATGGAAATGTGATCTGCAGAGCCATCTGTTTCTTAACTTTTCTTTTTTTAAATGTTCAAAAGGCCATTGTGAGGCTAAGACTGGACTTTGCTGGGAACCAATAGCAGCATGTATTATAACCCTCAGGAGCATACTGAACCCACACTGAGTTAAGTGACTTAAAAATAAAGGGATAGACAGCTTTTTCCTTCACTATTCCAAGCAGAAAGAGGTGACTAGAGCATCTCAACCATTCTGACTTGACACACAGACAGGACACTAGAACATTAACAACCATTATGACTGCACATACAGACACTGCAGACAGAATAAGTAACAGCTACGTTTCCTGGAAGAAATGGGACAGAGCCCTCAGAATCTGTATATTTAGCATCCACGGATTCATGCAATTGTGCATAGGAAATATTTGGGGAGGGTGCTGCATCTGCACCCAACATTGGAAGACCTTTGTTTCTTTGCATTCGCTCTGCACCCAGTATTTACACAGTAATAATGAGAGACAACTGAAGCTGTGCATAGGTTATGAAGCTACCATGCCAGTTTATACTCAGGACTGGATGGAGTATCCACAGATTGTATATTCCAGGGAAGTCAGCGGTCCACTTCCAAGAAATGATGAGAGAGAACTGTACTCCCACAGTTTGAAGTATCTACCCTAGGTATTTACTAACTACAAAGGGAAACATAGTAACTTTATGGAGAAACAGAGAGAAAGCCACCAAAGACTTTGACATTAAAGACAAAGGGTGGGACCAGCGGCAGCTCAAGGGGTAAGCACTTCCTTGAAAGCCTAAGGGCATCAGTTCAATCCCCAGGGCCTCCTGGACCGCACAAGGCGGTCCTCTGCCCTCCACACCTGCACCACGGGACACGGGACCACACATATGCATCACACACACCACAGAAGACGATGACTGGGGATGGACATCCCTCAGTGGCAAAGCCCTGGGTTCAATCCCCAATACTGCCAAGGGGGCTAAGAATTAAGACCAGAGAAACACAACTAAAAGCAGTGTGGAAACTAGAGAAAGAGCCAAGTCAATAAATCAACAATTTACTTCATATAACCATAGCAACGTCAATTCCCCACTTAAGAGTAATTGCACTATTATAATTCAAGATGTCACACCGGCAATGAAGGACATACAGGAATTCTAGTAATTCTTACAAGTTTCCTGCATATGTAATCATTTCAAAATAAGGCATGTGCATATTACAGTTACACAAGAACATTCTGAGCACTTTAATTCCAGCACTTGGGAGGAAGAGGCAGAGAATCTCTGAGTTTTTGCCTGGTCAACTGCCAGGACAGCCAAAGCTGTTACTCAGAGAACCCCTGTCTCGAAAAAGGAGGGAAGGAGGGAGAGAGGAAAGGAGAGAGGGAGGAAAGGAGGGAGGGAGAGTGGATGGTCATTTAATCAAATGGTTTTTCTTCCATAAAGCAGTTGTTACTTTTACAACTAAATAAATGAGTAATAATGATACGACTTACTTTTTATACAGAACTCCGAATGGTTTCTTCAGTGCATACTGTAAGACATAATTTTAAACTTTCTCAACAAAGCATTCAGGAGTCACGGCGATCTTCCTGCTTCAGTCATTCAAACACTGGAATTTCACTCACGAGCTGTCCCATCAGCTGTTCCCATTCAGGGCTGAGGGCAGGGCCTCACTATGTAGCTTGGGCTGCCTTGACTGCCAATCTGCCTCCTGAGGCCTGGGCTTACAGGTGTGGCATCATGTTTAGTAAACATTTGATGATTCTCAGTCCAGAGTTTCCATGTCTGGGTGTAAGGAGCACTGTCGCCTTCTGCTGACAACGGCCACATGTGATGCTCTGTAACATTGCCCTGCTCTTAGCACTTACTTAACTGTGTAGTCATTGGGAAGGAGAGAGGCTGCTTCCTCTCCCTACCACAATATTCAGATAAACATTTCTGGAAAAGATGACGGAGCCAGACTAGACATGGTAGCTCACATCTGCAATCCCAGGGCTCAGAAGGAGAAGACAAAGGACTGAACGTTCAAAGACAGAGGGTATGAAGCTTGCCAGCACGCCCGAAGACCTGCGTCCAACTGCTATAGCCTACATGGTTAAAGGGAAGCAGGAAAATGACGTCTGCTGAGCATCACCGCCTTCCCCTCCAAACCTGCCCTATCTGATACATTCTCTAAGCTGATATTTGATTTTAAGTGATTTATATGTATGTGTGTTTGCCTGCATATATGTATGTACGTGCACCTCATGCCTGCCTGGTGTCCATGGAGACCAGAAGAGGTGTTGGATCCCCTGGAACTGGAGTTACAGATGGTTGTGAGCTGCCGTGTGGGTGCCAGAACTTGACCCTGTGAACTCTGGGAGAGCAGCCAGTGCTCTTAACTATTGAGCCACCCTTCCAGCCCTACATAAAACCTATGCCCTCCATGTCTATTCTAACTAGCTCTCAGTTTCATTCATTCATCATTTGTTTCTCTGTGTAGCCCTGGCTGTCCTAGAACTTACTTTGTGGACAAGGCTGCCCTTGAATTCAAAGATCTGCCTGGGAATGCTGGGATTAACGGCCTGCGCCCCGCCCAGCTGTCAGTTTTACTGCCACCATCACACAGCAGTCTTTCCCTGGCTCACAGCACTGGCCCCCAGCCTTCCCTAGCAAGACCAATAGGTTGCACTGACGGGTATAAGTCAGTGGCAGCACTTGCCATGGATTCCAATTCTAGAACCACACACCACAGCACTCACCACAAACAGAAGCCTCCCAGGTTCAGCATAAACTCCAGCCCCATGCTCCTGTACAGTCCGCTGCCTTCTCTAGCTGTGTAGCCCACTTTCCTTTGGCCGTCCTGGCTACCCGTGGCTCTCCGAGTGGGTCCCATTTCTCCTCGGTCTTGGAAGCCCCCAGCTTCTTTTCGTGTTTCATCTCCTCCCTCAAAACGCAGGCTATGTGTCATTTCTGGGAAGCCCGCCTGTGATTAGCTCCCTTCGATATGATTGTTTGCTACATACCATTTCTGGGAAACCCTCCGTGTGTGTGGGTCCCTTCCTCCAAAGTGAGTTCTTTGTTCTTGTTAGTCTCGTCAGCCCGTACTGAACTCAGTTCCATATACACTGAATTTCTGATTATCTACCTCCCCGACAACAGTCATTTCTAACTATTTCCCACTCAACGCTGAGCACACCTCCAGCACAGCACTCACTGCACCACAAACAATGTTTGTCTCCTCTGTCCCGTGTATTCATTCTCAGAATCTAGAATAGCTAGTATTGCTGAAAGAACATATAGTAATAAGAGTGATTTCAGCTTACAAATTAGTTAATAAACTGTGTATAAACAAGAAGCAGGTGAGATGGCTCAGTGATTATAAGCACTGGCTGCTCACTAGAGACCCAGGTTCAAGTCCCAACACCCACATGGTAATCCTAGCTCTGTAATTCCAGTTCCAGGGGATCTGAAGCCATCTTCTGAACTCTATTGACACCAGGAACATCAGTGGTGCACAAACATACATGCAGGCACAATAACCACAATAACCAATTTTTAAAAACGCCCATAAGCCAAACTAAAAGATTTGTTATAAGGCCAAGCGGTAATGGTGCACACTTTTGATCACAGTACTCTGGAGGCAGAGGCAGCCAGATCTCTGTGAGTTCGAGGCCAGCCTGGTCTACAGAGTGAGTTCCAGAACAGGCTCCAAAGCCAGAGAAACCCCTTCACATCCCAGCACCCAATAGGTAGAAGTCAGCCCACCTTACACAATAAGCTCCAAGTCAGCCAGGGCTACACTGTGAGATCCTGTGTAAAGGGAGGCAGGACCCAAATAAATAAAAATTCACCCAGAGAACTAGGCTTTAAGCACCCTTACAAGTAGACTCACAGACAAATGGCTTCTAATTTCAGCATCTCTTTACCCCTGTCCCTCCCAACTCCAGCTCTTCTTTAAGGCTGAATCTTTTTTTTATTTTGATGTGTCTGTTTTTTTAATTAATGTATTTTTTACATTTCAATCCCAGGTCTCCCTTCTCTCCTCCATCTCCCCGCCCCACCTCCCATCTGCTCCCATCAGCTAGTTGAGGCAGGACCAAAGCACCTCCCCACCCCCACACCCCTGTGTCTGCCCTGAGCAAGCTATCTCTCCATACAGAATGGGCTCCACTGAGTCAGTCTGTGCAGTAGAGTTAGGTCTTGGACCCACTGCCAGTGGCCTCAGATATTGTCCCAGTCACACCACTGTCACCTGTATAAGGGAGTCTAGTTCAGTCTTATGCAGGTTCCCATCTGTCAGACCTGAGTCAGTGACCTCTCACTAGCTCGGGGAAGCTGATTCTGGGGGTTTCCCCATCATGGTCTTGACTCCTTTGTTCATATTATCGCTTCTCCCTCACTTGGATTGTACTCTAGAAGCTTGGCCCAATGGTTAGTTGTGGATTTCTGCATCTGCTTCCATTTGTTTCTGGAAGAAGGTTCTAGCTTCTCTGGGGATGTGGATTATAGGCTGGGTATCTTTTGCTTTTTATCTGGTATCCACTTAAGAGTGAGTACATACTATATTTGTCTTTCTGGGTCTGGTTAACTCTCTCAGGATGATTTTTTCTAGTTCTGTCCATTTTCCTGCAAATTTTAGGATGCCATTGTTTCTTACCACTGAGTAGTACTCCATTATATTACGGCTGGATCTTTGTTTTTAAAGATTTATTTATTACATGATATATATATATATATATATATATATATATATTATTATATATACAGTGTTCTGCCTGCATGTATGCCTGCAGGCCAGAAGAGAGCATCAGATCTCATTACAGATGGTTGTTGAGCCACCATGTGGTTGATGGGAATTAAACTCAGTCCCTCTGGAAGAGCAGCTAGTGTTCTTAACCATTGAGCCATCTATCCAGCCCCTAGGGCTGGATCTTAAGATGTCACAATCCTATCACACCTGACCCAACTCTGTATACTCGAAAGTTCCTCAATAGCACAACCTTACTTTAAAAGAATACTCAGAGCCAGCCTGGACTACATTGTGAGACCCTGTGTTTTGTTGTTTTGGTTTTTTGAGACAGGGTTTCTGTGTGTATCCCTGGCTATCCTGGAACTAGCTCTGTAGACCAGGACAGGATTAAAGGTGTGTGCCACCACACATGGCTTTCTTGTTTTAAGCAAACTGACCTGGCTAGAAAGACGAATTCCTCTTGCAGTTTCCCCAGCACATGAGGAGGCTCAGTCATCTGTAACTCCAGCTACAGGGGCCCAAGGCCTTTGGCCTCCATGGACACCCACACAGATACTTAGTTTAAAAATACAGAATCAAGGGGCTGAAGCGATGGCTCAGCAATTAAAAGCACTGACTACTCTTCCAGTCCTGGGTTCAATCCCAGCACCCACACAATAGCTCACAACTGTCCTTAATTCCTGCTCCGGGGGATCCGACACCCTCACACCGACATAGATTTGGGCAAAAGCCCAATGTACATAAAATACAAGCCAGTCAGAGCTGAAACAGCAGTCCATGCACCCACCACGTCTCTGAGCACTTGTGACACGGTCGCGTTGGCGTTTCCCCCTTTAATCAGCATGGCGTGCTTGGTGTTTTCACTGACTCTTGGTTCCCTCTTCTCAAGGAATCTCTTAGCCCTTTTTGTTTTAGGTTTTCTGTTCAAAAGGAAACACAATTCATAATAAGTTACGCATTCTTGTCATATGACATACCTACAACTTGAGTGATGACCAAAATAAATAAATAAATAAATAAATAAAAACCCAACAGATATCATATTCGCAGCCATCAAGTGGGATTTCATCATTAAAGAACAACATAAAAACACTCACCTTTTCAGAGATCTTGGCAAAGGTATTTTATCATTACTGTTAAATGTGTGTTTTGCCAGCTTTTGGTTCCTTACGAAAACTTTCTTTTGATATTTCCACATTGATTTAGTACTGCTTTTTTCTAACCCTCTTATTATTAGGCATGAAAGGGTTCTGGGGCTGAGAGATTAAGAGCACCTGTTGACAATCAGGGTTGGTTCTTAGCACCCACATGGAGGCGGATTGCAACTCTTGCTCCAGAGGACCTGACATTCTCTTCTGGCTTCTGTGGGCTAGCATTCACACATACATAAATAAAAGTAAATTTCAGGGCAGGCGGTGGTGGCCCACACCTTTGATCCCAGCACTCAGGAGGCAGAGGCAGGTGGATCTCTGTGAGGTCGAGGCCAGCCTGGTCTACAGAGCGAGTTCCAGGACAGCCAGGACTACACAGAGAAACCCTGTCAAACAAAAACAACAACAAAAAGAATTAGACATAAAAATTTGTCTACAACCCCCATCACCCAAAAAAAAAAAAAAAAAAGTTATCCTGTTTTTATGGCGGGGCAGTAATAGGGTGTTATTATACATTTCTGTTTAGAAGGATTCATCTTTGCCTCCTCTGTGGTAAAATGGTGCTTTTCAAACAGTTTCATGCCATCTATTAACAAAACATCTCTTCTCTTAATTAACTATAACCCCCATCTTCCAATGTTGGGGCAGGGAGGGAGGGAATAAACAATATACATACACCTTCGTTTCCCACATAGGATTGAAAAATTGTCCTCCAATGAAATGCCATGCGTAAAGCCACGTAGCCAGTCATTTGCTGGTCACTCAAGATGCATCCTTTATTAAATGAAACCAAGTTTATACAGCGCTAACAGCCATACACTCTGTAGTCCGTGTCTTTTCCAATCAACCTCACCAACCTGCAATCAATGTAAACAGCACCTTGGTGGCTTCAGTAGCGACGCACAGTGGGTGCACGAGATCTAGCGACTAAAGCGCAACTGTCGTTTACACTGCCCAGCTATTTAAAAAGCAAAAAACTGGGCCGGGCGTTGGTGGCGCACGCCTTTAATGCCAGCACTGGGGAGGCAGAGACGGGCGGATCTGTGAGATCGAGGCCAGCCTGGTCTACGGTGCGAGTTCCAGGACAGCCAGGGCTGCAGAGAAACCCCGTCCCGACAATCGGGGCGGGGGCGGCGGGAAAGACGGCGTCCCTCGGCGATGGGCTCGCTGGGCTCGCGTGCAGGCCTGAGCCGCCCCTGCTGCTGCAGACCCTGCTCCCGCACCGCGACGGCCGCAGCGGGGTGACCTGGGTCCACGCGCCGCCGCCGCGCGCGCACGCACGCACGCACGCACACTTACACGACTTTATCCAAGGCGTCCATCGCCGCGGGACCGCTTCCCCAGCCAGCACACGTGCGCCGCTCACTTCCGCGAAGCCGCCGCCCGCGCCGGAAGAGGCGGTGCCGGAAGCGCGGGACACGACTTCCTGAGACGGCCCCGCCGGCGGCCATCTTGGGAGGGCGTGGCGTCCTGGCGGTTCCCTTGGTTACCGAGCGTGGTTCCGGCTGCAGGCGAGTGTTTGGGGGAGGAGACCGGACGCTAGGGACGCGGACAGGCGCGGCACTCAGATAATTGCAAAAATGGCTCAGCTGCGAGATCGGGGAAACGCGCTGACCCCTCTGCTTCAAACACCGAGGTCACGGCTGGCCCCCGGGGTTAGTCACGGTGTTGGCACGTAGCTGTGCAGGTGTAATTCGGTGTGGGGGCGAGCCCGGAAGAGCCTGTGACACAGCAGTTCCGGCAGGGCCGGAAGCTGCGTGAGGCGCGGTCTCACTGGCGAGTCATTACTCTGGAGATGAAGGCGGGGGGATCAGGCTCCAGATGCCGGCCAGGGCTGCATCTCAAGAAAGAAAGCAAAAAGCAAAACAAAAAAAACAAAAAAACCTGCAACCACCACCACTATCCAAGTTCAAGATACTTTTATTACTTCAAAGTGCTCGCCTGCGCTTCCGCTTGTCCCTTCAATCCAGCTCCACGGGCTGGACTTGCCAGTTATTGAATTGATTCTCACGGCGTGGGGCTTTAGCTTACTAGGCTCTGGGTTTGTCTTAAGACACGGCTTCCCTACATTGCTTTGTCTCGCTATGTAGACCACAGGATCTTGAATTCACAGTTGAATCCTTCCGGTTTCTGCATCTGGGCATTTGAGGCCACACCTGGCCTAACTTACCAGTTTTTGGTTTGAGGCAGAGTTTCTCTACGTAGTTCTGGAACTATCTCTGTAGATCTCAAACCCAGGGCTCTGTCTGCCTCTGTCTCTCGTGCTGGGATTAAAGGCATCGCCACCACTGTCCAGCACCTACTTTGCTGTGTTAAGGTCTGTGCTTCTCTGTGTTGTTTGGGGGAGGATCTTGACATGCAGCGAAAGCTGGCATAGAGCTGTTGCCCACGCTGATGTGGGACTTGTAACGCTGCCTTTGCTTATGGGCAGTCGAGATTAACTGTCTATCCTGCCAAGATTGAAGGCATGTCCTGCCACTCCAGGAAATGCATCTTTTTGCATATTGGAATAAATGATGGCAGGTGGTGTTGACATCCTGGCTTCCACCTCTTTAACCTCTCCCGGGTCCTGGGAATCCTGGCCTTCTACCTGCTCCCTACTCCTCTCCTTCGGCGCTGTGGTTTCTCCTCAGCACCCGCCTGTCACTCTGTGCCAGCCCTCTCCCGAGCCTGTACCTTCTTAGGGAACGTTCCTGGTCTCGGGGCCTCTCTAATCCCCGGGCTCTCTCCCCGGATCGCTCTTCTCCGGGCCACCTTCACTCGCCCAGGGATCCACCTTTGACAGTGATCGCTCCTCACTGACAGCTGTCAAAAGTTGCATGTCTGCATGGTGCATGCTGGGCTGTGTCAGTGACATAGCACTTACTATAGAACTCAGACTCCTGCGCTGAATTAAAGAAACAACGTGGAGCTTTCAGCCATCAGGAGTGGTAAAAGGACAGCAGTTGTAATGGGGCCAGTGACTTCACCGACCATCCTTAATGAAGTGGCTACAAAAGCTCCAGCCCAGGACCCTGAGTCTGTCTTCGGTATGTGGGGGTTCTGAGAGGGTGCCTTTCAAAGACGGAACACCCACTTGGCTCTATGCAGTCTCTCCATCTGGCTGTTTCCAAAGAGGATCAGTTAAAGGTCACCCTCAGCAGACAAGTTCAAGGTCAGACTGGACTATATAAGACATTAACTCATGATAAATAAGCAAGAAAAATCTAGTAAACTTTTCCGGGTCCTTTCCTCAACTCTGTGACCTATCTTAACGGCAAATGGTTGAACGTGAGAAAGGGATTGTAGGAGCGTCCCGTTTGTAGCCACTTCGTAAGCTGTGGGTGACTTTGGGAACTCACTGCGTGAGATTAGCATGTAGAGATGGGACGATGGGACAACCCCACGGGACTGAGCCGTGTAAGATCTGACAGGTTCCGGTTCACAGTATCAGAGGTGGATTAAGATGGAGGACCCTCACAGGTGTCCTCCAGGGAACTGATCTGTGACAGAAACTCCATGTGTCTGCCGTAAAAAGTGAAGTCCTGAGGGAAGCAAGACTAAACAGCTCAGTTTCCCTCCAGTGGCATAACTAGCTTTTTAAAAAACAAAACCAAATGACAGAGTTGGTAGTATTTTACAGCTTCTAGTCTTGGGAGAAATGTTTTGGGTTTTTAGGGGACAGGATCTCACATTGTAACCCTGCCTGGTCTCAAACTTGCAGCAATCCTGCTTCAGCCTCCCATCAGTCTTGTTTTGCGACAGGGTTTCTCTGTGTGGCACCTGGCTGTTCTGGAACCTATTTTGTAGACCAGGCTGCCCTCAAACCCTCAGAGACCACTTGCCTTCTAAGTGCAGGGATTAAAAGTGTGCACCACCACCCAGCCAGACCGTGTTGTTTAACAGGCATTTATAATTCCTGCCCATCTTCCTCATCCAGATATGTTTTTGGTTTGCTAAGCATCAAACCCAGAGACTCACAAATGCTAGGTAATCAATCACTCGACACTGAGTTACACCTCTGGGCAAGGGGCCTTTTTTTTTTTGTTTGTTTTTTGTTAATGATACTATTGCTATCACACTTGGTATTCCCTTGTTTTCTTGAAATGAAAAGTCAACATCAGACGGGCATGGTGGTAACTAGGAGATAGAAGCAGGCAGATCACTGTTGGATTGATGCCTGCCTAGTTTACTTAGCAAGTGCCAGCCAAGATGACATCCTGAGACCCAATCTGAAACCAAAGTGAAAGCCTGCTCAGGGTCTTTGTCCAGAAGTAATTTTGCTGACCCTCTAACTCACAGCAGCCCAGGGCAGCGCTGTTTCTCACAATTCAATCTACTGTCTTGTTGCTTCTGCCTTTCCTAGCTTCTATGTGCAAGATGACTTCCAGATACAAGGACCCTTGCTACAATTAGAAGGCTGGAGAATGTAGGGCTAGTCTGGGTTACAGAGTAAACTTTGTCTCAGAAAACAAAAGGGCTGTAGAGATGGCTCAGCGGTTAAGAGCACTGGCTGCTCTTTAAGAGGTCCTGAGTTCAATTCCCGGCAACCACATGGTGGCTCACAACCAACTACAATGAGATCTGGTGCCCTCTTCAGGCCTGCGGGGATACATGCAGACAGAATACTGCATACATAATCTTTTTTTTTTTTTCTTCTTCTCCCCTGAAGACAGGGTTTCTCTGTGGTTTTGGAGGCTGTTCAGGAACTCCCTCTGTAGACCACACTGGCCTCAAACTCACAGAGATCCACCTGCCTCTGCCTCCCGAGTGCTGGGATCAAAGCCGTGTGCCACCACCACCACTGCCTACAATAAACCTAAAGAGGCGAGTCAGCAGTAAGACCTCCCTAGCTCTTGGAGACAACTTGGCTTCAATTCCCAGCACCCACATGGCTCATGACCATCCCTAACTCCATTTCTAAGAAACACAAATTGCCTCCTCCGGGCCAGGTCAGATTGTGGTGAACACACTACACACTCACACAGACACAAAAATGAATACTTTTAAATGGGGGCTGTATGTAGGTAGACAGGGGGCTGGGAGATGACCCAGCAGGCTGCACTAGCCTGAGTCTGAGTCTCAGAACCCACAGACAGGCAGGAGGCCAGAAGCAGGCATCAGATCTCCCGGAACTGAAGCCACAGGAGACTGTGAGCCGCCGTGTATGCGCTGGGAATCACATCCAGGTCCTCTGGGAGAGCAGCCAGTACCCTGTCTGATCCTTCCTGCATGAGTCTAGTATACTAAACTGTATTTTTTGTTTGCTTGTTTTGTTTTCCAAGACAGGGTTTCTCTGTGTTTTTGGAGTCTGTTCTGGAACTCTCTATCTGTAGACCAGGCTGATCTCACGAAGATCTGCCCGCTTCTGCCTCCCTAGGGCCAGGATTAAAGGCGTGCACCACCACCACGAAGCCACTAAATTGTATTGTAACTGAAAGTACCCACACTGTCAACAGTAACAACTGTTGGTGAGCCAGCTGTAAGCTGCACAGCTCTAGTTGTAGACAAGACCCTTTTTTTAAGTTCATGACTGGCTGTTTTGAGGAACGTCTCCATCTTGAATTCCCATGAAAGCAGAACTTCCCATCTCTGCGGGGCTGTCTCCAGGGCCGGGGTCCCCTGCCTCCTGGGGCCCCGCTCCCTCCTGCTCGTGTGTCTGCTCTGCGCTGCCTTTCATTTGTGTCTCTCCGTCTTCCAACTCCACGGGTTTCTCGGGGGCTGATGCTACAGCTTCATCCTCATTTTCATGCAGAAAGCTGCAAATCATGTTGGGTCTATAGGAGAAATCGTTATCCTTCATCTGCAGCCACTCTACACCATCTAATTGGGCAGGAGGTAAGAAACAGAAACCTCGGTTAAGTACTTTTTTCCTTAACTGACAACAAATGGATCACAGACCAAGGGTGGTTACGCGGGGCTGCTGGGGTATAAACTTGTACAGCCGCTACAGAAATCAGTAAGGCGAGAGGGCCACCAAGACACAGAACCATGCTAAAGATCCATCCACAGGATAAACAGATGTAGAGGAGACATAGCTTTGTGGGCCTCAAGATCATTCTGAATTGTCTTTACTTCAGGCCAAGCACCTCTAAAATTATTTTATTTTATGTCACCTTCATTTGAGACAGGATCTCACTATGTGGCCCCAAACTCAAAAAGATCTGTCTGCATCTATCTCCTGAGTGCTGGGATTAGAGCCAAGAGCCATTATCCCAGGCCTATATATTTATTTATCTATTTATTTAATATTTTGGGGATGTTTAAGACAGCTCAGCAGGTAAATGCACTTGCCATGGAAGCTTGATGTAAATTTGAATGTCACACCCTACACGGGTGACTTTACTGA